GCCCTCTGGGAAATGGGTGACTTTTTTTCTTATTATTATCCAAGAAGAGAAAAAAAACCCTAGACATTTCAAGGTAAAGCTTTCCCTAGTCAGGAATACTAGTGACGGTGTGCAGGTCTGCATGCAAATCTCTGCAGCACGACTGAGACAGGAAGGTAGACCTCACTGACAGTACTGCTAATCCAGAACAGAGCCATTGATTGAACACGTCCCTAAATGCTGTGCTCTGCCTGGCAATGCGGCCATTTTAAGTCTCATCAGGACAGGGCAGAGCAGGTATCCATTATAAAGGCAGGAGAACGGCGGTGGGCTGATCATTGGCTTACTTCCACAGGATAGGACAATCTGGGGGTTAATGACTTTTAATGATGCTGAAAACATTAAGATCGGACATGGCGTATAACGGATAAACACAATGCACATCTAATTGACAATCAAAATCATTTCAGGTCCACCTTATCTGTGTCAACTCTATGTATGGAAATGAAGATGAGTCATATTTATCAGGCACGCTTCTTTAGTGCTATAAATTACACAAGGCGAATATAGACACAATTGTGCTCTGAATGATGAACTCTCACTAGTTCAACATTTAAAAAACATTTATATTCCAATACCAAAATAATCTCTAGGAAAATGTATCATATTACAGAATATTACACCTTGCTCTTAAATGCGTTTATGTAATTGTTCTTGAATCTCATTAAATAAAATAAGTTATCTGCTGACATAAAAAAAAAATAAAAAAAATAAATAAATTCTTGGCAGCTGAAATAATAATATTAAAAAAATAATAATATAAGAATTAGGGTAACACTTTGTTTTGATAGTCCACTTTAGACATTTTACTAACTAACTTTCAAAGCTAACAAAGAGCTTCAGAGACACTATAATAAATGGTTTGGATTCTCATATTTTCTCATCGCTGTGTCAAGTCATTACTGGGCACCACGTCATTAGCAAGGTGGCAAGGTGGAGGAGAGACGGCCATTGTCGCAGGATTTTTCCTTCCGCCTGTAGAGCTCAACACATCCATTTCTATATCATTTTTTTTTCAGAGCATTTAGGTAACAAATATATAATAGATTTGAGCAGCAAACTGAAACAGCAGAGAAAAGCTATTTTATATAATCATCTGGAGAGTAGAAAGCAGATTAAAATGTTTCTGTGGGAGCTTTTTTTTTTTTAAAGATATGATGAGGGTACATTTGGATGTGCTGAGAATAGTTGCCATCCTGTCAGCTAATCTAAGATCTGTTGATTTTACCCTAACAGCAGGCTGAGGCTGGTCCAATACCCTGGTGTTTCTCTCAAGTAAATTCTGAGCAAAAAAGGAAGAAAAAAAAGGAATAAAAAAAAAAAAGCTTAGTGGCTTTTTCCCTCAAGGCGTAGGAGTTTTAGTCATGAGTTAAGGTAATCCGAGCAGATGCTGTTCACTTGCCCTTGTTTGCAGACTCCTGTGCCAATTAGCGGACAAAGCAGACTATGTGTGGCATATTTTCAAAATGAGATTAATTTATATTCCACAGTGTGCAAGCAAAGGAAAAGGCTGATCTTAAAATTATGGCAGCCATCAGAAAGCATGCACGCAAACCAACAGACGCATGCTAGCTTCATGTACAGGATTGTCACAGCTCATTGTCCTTGAAAATTAATCGGAATGAAATGACAAGCCTGGGGACTGCAATCCGCGGTGCACTGGAACAAGGCTCCTGAGCAGAATATTTATGTAAGCCTGGCTAAGTGGCAACAGATGATATCTGTATTCCAACTGGATGGCGGGACTTGAAATGTATGTGATAAACAAGCCTGGGCAGACTGCATTATGAAATGTAAATTTAGCAGTTCGGGTTCAGAATTAGGCCAATGAGGGTGGGCCGGGGACGTGAGGGGGAGGAGAGGGGAGTCTCCTTGCCCTGGACTATATCTAAGCTTACCTGTACTACCAACTAACTGCTATGACATATGGTGCGTGATGCCATTACCATGCTCATTGCGCACAAGCTCATTTTTCAGCAACCCAACAGCCTGAAAAGGCAATGCTTACAATACAATGCCATTTTGAACTCACTCCAATGGTCCGATTGGTGTCTGGCATAAAAACACATTCATCTCGCTCAGAGACCGTATCAATATTGGTCTAGGACAGCTCAACGGCTAGTGAGAGTGCCTAGTCATTGAAACTCGCATGCTGTTCTTTAGCAAGTCTCAAAAAAGAATGCATCATACAAATCTAGATTGAGTATCTGGATATATGGGGTGGGAAACTCAATGATAATATAAAAATAATATAATATACATATATATAGTGTGTGTATATTTATATATATATATATATATATATATATATATATATAGTTATATAGTGTGTATATATATATATATATATATATATATATATATATATATATATGAAGAGTTCATATGCAAAAGCCTCTAAGTGCCATTTGAAATTTTCTTCTAAAATTATCATTTTTATCAAGCTTGTGTATTTAAGTTCAGTAATTTCACTTAAATGGCAATGAAGATTACCTATTAAATGTCATTTAAAGGTTCTCAAAGCGATCCTGGGTGTTGACGTTCGAATATTTTCAAACAAATCGGAGCTAGACCCTCCCTCCTCCGCATCTCATCTCCTCCCCCTCCCTTCCGTGCTTCCTGAAATAATTGTGAACGTGCATAGTTCTAGCTAATTATATCCTTGTGTGGGATTGGCGAACATAAGCGTCAATTTAGAAGAAAAAAAAAACAATTTAACGTTACCCACCTGTCAAGCAAAAACAGAGCAACCTGAATGTCGGACTGTAAGCCCTTCTGCCGCCGGAGTTCTCGCCATCGTTCAAAAGCTTTGCTACCGGTGTAAATTCGGAACTTCGCACATTCTTTATCCGACTCCTTCTTCTTTTTAATTTGTTCCTCAGAACGACGTCTCTTTGGTCGTGTGTCGGTAATTTTTCAAACTTCCCTCTGATGCTTCGCTGCTCTCCTTCACACACGCACACACCCTTCATGTGCACGCGCACTAACCCCCCACACCCACCCTCAAATACTTCTTGCCAGTGATTGGCTGGAATGTTTGTTAGGTTTCGTGGTCCGGGTAAGACATGATTGTTTTTGTTGCCATTTGTGGAGCCTGTGGTGTCTACAGAGACCGTGTTTTTTTTACAGTGTGTTTAGGGGACAGGCAGCTAGCCGATAGTGAGGAGACGTTTGATGTATGTGACAAAAAATGTTTTGGCCCAGCATCGCTTAGAGAACCTTTAAGTGAAATTACTGAACTTAAATAGACAAGCTTGATAAAAATGGTCATTCTAGAACAAAATTTCAAATGGCACTTAGAGGCTTTTGCATCTGAACTCTTCATATATATATATATATGACAAAGAAAGAAAGAAAGAAAAAACAGATGCAACTTTTTTATTGAATAGCCAGTCCACCTTTTTTGGTGAGCCATGCACCAGCCATGCACTGTGCCTAATAACAGATAAAAAAAAAAAATAAATAAATAAATTAAAACATAAAATTATCTTGTTTACGCAAAAAGCTTCAACACATCAAAACCACAGGGGTTTGACACACTGTTTAAGTCATTAGAAAGATATTAATCTGCAATAATAAGCAAACCGCATACTAACAAGAGTAGACATTAGCAAATAGATGGCGTTTTCCAATTCATTCAAGGAAAGGCTTACACATCTGAAACATTGTAATGTGCTTCATTTAATCTATAGTTTAAGCCCAGCCTCTCTTAAATATCAAATTGTCTCAGGCACAGAGAAAAGAGAGGGAGAAAGAAAGAGAAAAGGAAAGAAAGAAAAAGAGAGAGCGCATATTAAAGAAAAAAAAAGGGTGAGCAGAGGAGCACCAGGAGGAGGTGGAAGGGAGGGAGGAAGGGAGGGAGGGAGAGAGATAGAGCGAGAGAGAGAGCGCGCCTGGGCTGAATTGTGAGTGGCTTACGACACTCAGTGAACAGAAGGTGTTTCTGCATGCACTGCCAGTGCACTAGTCTGCTGCAAGGGATCGAGTATCTCTCGCCTCCCCGTACACGGTGCCTGCCTTCAGCCTCAGCATCTACAGCCTCCGCAGCCCACTGGAAATGAGCGTCACACAAAGAAGACCTTGCTGAAGATTTGAGTCTTACTACAAACACCATCATTGATCTTTGGATATCACTATACAAACAATTAAAAAGGAAAGGAAAAGAAAAAAAAAGAGCGCTATATGATGCAGATCTCACAGGTTTCGCATGTGTATAATTGCGAAGAAATGACCACTGACAGAATGCCAACGAGCTTCACTCAATGTGCATTGCGCAGGTCAGTGATCACTTTAGGTTATGGATGGTGATTTGCGGCAACAGATCTGGAATCTTTAACGAGAAGGAAGGAAGGAGAGAGAGAGTGAGAGTTTGGAGTGGATTATTCCCTCCTTCGTGCGCATTTTCCCCCCGCTCATCTCTCCCACAGATCGGCGCAGCAGTCGATGCAGAGCAACGTCGGAGAGAGGACAGCGCTCATGCATGCAGTCCGGGAAACTTGCACTTCCTCCCAGCCTGCTGAATGCCATTTGGATTCGTTCTCTTTTTGGCTCTTTCACACGAGGAGAACTAAGACATTGTAAGTCTGCCAGGATCTGGTGTCCGATGAAAAGGAGGGGGGGCTGAATTTGTACCACACTGGGGTCTTTTTTTAGTTTCGCACATAATTAGTGTCGGCACAAAGGGATCAACTGAATAGAGGTTGTCAGCCTCTGGAAAGGGGTGAGTAGGCATCCTTTCATGTGAGATTGATGCTCGAGGAGTGCATTTTTTTTTTTTACCTCCCTGTCTCTCTTTTGCTTTCTCTGATCTAACATGAGCAAAGTGACTTGTCGTTTATTATCTGCCGCTCTTCTCGTCTCAATGTGGCAGGATTTCTCGAATATTTAAGTGACAAATCACCATCCATATTCTCTGTAAATAAATATAAGGGGAGTTACAAATCACAATGACAGAGATCTGAAAGATTCAATGGACTTTTTCTCTACGACACTGCGGGATATTCATGCTAATGGATTTCCTTCTAATTGGTCTGTACCTAAAGTGGCCCCTAAGGAAGCCACCTGGGCTGATTCTGTGCTCCCTGGGCATTTTTCTGAAAATAGTTCCGTTGGTGGGGGGGAGCTGTCCGAGGCCATGCCGATGCGACAACAAGCTGTTGTATTGTGAGGGGCTCAACCTGACTGACATCCCTCAAAATCTGAGCAGCGCCATTGGTTTGTCCCTGCGCGAGAATAACATCTCTGAGCTGCGGGAGGGGAACTTTGTGGGCCTGTCACAGCTAACCTGGCTCTACTTGGATCATAACAATATCGAGATCGTGGAGGAGAGCGCCTTTGAAAGGCTGCGAAGGGTTAAAGAGTTGGATCTGAGCACCAATCGGATAGAGAGCCTGCCCAACGGGACATTTAGACCTCTGCCCAACCTGCGAATATTGGATTTATCCTACAACAAACTTCAGTTCTTAGAGCCAGACCTTTTCCATGGTCTTAGGAAGCTTACCAATTTACATTTGCGCTACAATGCCCTTAAATTCATCCCTGTGCGGATTTTCCAGGATTGCAGGAGCATGCAATTCCTGGATCTGGGTTACAACCAGCTGCAGAGCCTGGCACGTAACTCATTTGCCGGACTCTTCAAGCTCACCGAACTGCATCTGGAGCACAATGAATTGGTGAAAGTCAATCTGGCCCATTTCCCCCGCCTCATATCCCTGCGGACCCTCTACATGCGAAACAATAAGGCCACCATTGTGGTCAGCACCCTTGACTGGACCTGGGACCACTTGGAGAAGATTGACTTCTCCAATAATGAGATTGAGAGCATTGAACCTCATGTGTTTGAAAGTGTGCCCAACCTCAATGTTCTCATGCTGGACTCTAATAAACTGACTTACATAAATCAGCGGATTTTGGACTCTTGGAATTCCCTCAGCAGCATTTCTCTGTCGGGGAATGACTGGGAATGCAGCAGGAATGTCTGTGCCTTGGCTTCCTGGCTTAGCAACTTCCAGGGACAACGTGACAGCGGCCTGTTGTGCGCCAGCCCGGACATTGCACAGGGTGAGGACATTCTGGACGCAGTCTACGCTTTCCAGTTGTGCGAGGACAGCGTGGAAGCAACGACGCAGTCCTTCACCGCCACCAGAAACAGGGCCAAAGGCTTCATATACGACGGCCCGACGAGAAATCCGTACGACCTGCAGGATGTGGAGGGTGGGGAAGTGGTGACCAACTCCTTAACAGTGACTGCATCCGCTGATGACCTGGAGAGCACCATGCAGATTCACAAGGTGGTCACAGGCACCATGGCCCTCATTTTCTCTTTCCTAATCATGGTCCTCATGCTCTATGTGTCCTGGAAATGTTTCCCAGCAGGCGTTAGGCAGTTGAGGCAGTGCTTCACCAGCCAGCGTCGCAAACAGAAGCAGAAGCAGACCATGCAGCAGATGGCTACTACGTCTGCGTCCGAGTACTACGTTGACTACAAACCCAACCATATTGAGGGGGCACTTGTCATCATCAACGAGTATGGCTCTTGCACGTGCCAGCAGCAGACATCTCGAGAGTGCGAGGTGTGATAGTCCATCCATGTTGTTTTTAAAAGTCAGTGTTTTCAATGAATGGATGGATATGGAACACACTTAAACTCGGCACCTCATTTCGCTGCTCTCGGGAGGAAGCTACGTTTCTGGAGGGCAAATGGACTGAAAACAGGGATTTAGTGATGGTCTCAACAGCCACGAAGCCTTGCGAGAGAATCTGACTGTGAAACCTGTGTACTTGATGCAAAAGATGTGGAATAATTATGCTGACCTGTCCCGGCTTCTCTTGTGAAGAGTGGATATTTGAGCTTTAATGTGTCTTTCTACTTCAGGATATTATAAGACTTTCTAAAGCTACCGAGGACATTTTTACCGTGGAAACAAACATATGAACAGACACAATTGGAGGGGAAAACAACAAAACAAATAATCCCTTAAAGGGGGAAAAAAAATGATTCTATGTAAAATATATAAGAGTAGGGATAAAAAAAAATGCAAGATGTTATCCTATTTCTTTTGTAATCTATGGATAAAAAAAGAGGAAAATACAAATGTTTAAATAAATGAATTGCAATTCACAGTACCCATTATTGCAGGTGAGTTGGAGGGTTGCTTTTTTTTGTGTCTGTGATCCCGGGGAAAGACGTTCAGAGAGCTCTGCAGTATTGCAAGATGTAAATAAGCAGGGCTGTTGGGAGCGCTTCACTTCATTTGAAATGTTAAGCCTCAGTCTAAGATTCAGATCTCCTCGTCTCTCCCCGAGATATAATCACTGTGCAAAGCTTGATTGCTATGGCTGTTGCAGTTGCCCCCCTTGTACCTATCCTGAATAGATTAAGCAAACTAGCAAAAACAAAACAGGCTGACGTGGTTTGATCCAATCTCACATGATAAAGTCAAACATCTGTGTGCTGTGCAAATAAACAAGACAAGGAGTGTCTAAGACCTTAATTCCTTCACTGCTTCCACAGACTTCAGAGACAAGACGTAAAAAGCGCTTCAAGCGAGGGGTAAAAATCAGAGTGAGAGGAGGCCTTAAACATTTAAATTGAAATGTACTTGAAATGGGGTGTGACTAACAATCCATGAGGTTTTTCTTTCTTTACCCAAAAAAGTTTAGCTGATTCAAGGTGTAGATCGTGATTCATTGTGGATTTCTGTTTAAAATGTGACATTACTTTAAAAGGCACCCTGTGGTCACCCGTTGTTTTTCTGTGAGTGATCATACTGACGGATTGTCAGATTGTGTGCATCCCGCATCAGTTGCTGTCGAGCTGGTAAAAGCAAAAGGCCTTTGAGAGAAGGCACAGGCTGCTCCCTAGTGTTCACACCAGCAGCGGAGGAAGACGAGATACCGCAGCAACAAGCCCTTGCATTAATCTCGCCCAGGCATTGTGTGTGTTCGTGTATACACCTGTTGCTTCTCTATATGCATTCTCTAAGCTCAGCTCAGGATTACTGCCACAGTGAAAAGTATCTGGACTAAGCAACAAAAGCAGGGTGGTTATAAAAAAGAGAGATCTCACTTTGCATTGACTGTATTGTCACCTCACTCACTTGGCTGTTATAATAATTGATCTGTTTAGTAAGCATAGGGGACAAGCCACTGTGAAAATGGTGTGTGTGTGTGTGTGTGTGTGTGTGTGTGTGTGTGAGGTACAACGTTTATGTTTGTGAGAATGTGTGTGTCCTGTCCTGAAAAGGTGGAATTGAGTTTGTTCTGACCAGCTGCATGTGTGAAGTTATAATAATTTATCATGTGTGACTGGGATATGCCTTAAATGGAAAATGTAAGGCTGAGCAAATATTTTTACAATCAAATCAAGCAGTTTTATTATGGATTCCAAAGTCCCGCCCCATTCGAATCCTTTAATACTTGATATAAAACTGTTCTATTTTCAGCACTGTATTTGATGCGTATATGACGCTAAGCCAAGCTAAACCAATAAAATGTATTCCTACTGTTGTAAATTATCAGCATTGTGACACGCTTTGCCCTTTCCTGATTAATTTAGTCATGTTGGTTTTTTGTTTTGTTTTGTTTTTTGCTGTTAATGCTTGTTTTCTGTCAGTGAAGATGTTTTGAAGATGCTGATGCATTATTCAAAACTTCTGATCTGAGACTCCTTGGACTGCAAACTTTTTACCACCATTTTTAATTTCCTTGCGTTGAATGATATTGTTTGTTTGAAGCAAACCCCTGCATATGTACTCTCCACCGTGTGGTTGGCTTTTTAATGAATCCTCTGGAAAGTATTAAAAAAAAAAAAATCCAACCCTCTATTTGACTGGCAGATTCCTAGCATCAAAACAACAATGAAATGACAGCATTGTTGCCCGTATGGTCAGAAAAAAACAATAAATTGTAGCTATTCAAAATCCCTCTTTCTCAAAACAGGTGGTTGGATTGAGGGAAACAAAAACATGTCATTCAACAACAATAGCTGTTAACCATACCAGCGGCAAGGTAACATGGAAAACAATGAAGTTGTTTGATTTCATTCACCCTTCTCTTATCTAGCCCTCAACAAATTTAAAGCTCAGATCAAAGCGCTTCTGTGCCCTATTTTTAGCCCTTCTAGCTTTGTATCAATATTGCATGTTTGTCATTTCATCTTGGCACTGCTGGGAGTTGTTTAGAAGTCCCCTTTCCCTTAATCATTATTATTTTTTACTTTTCTTCACAAGAAGCAAATTAATATTTCAAGTGCCATGAGGTTTTGTTTAATATGAATCTCTATCCTCCTCCTCCTACAAACCCCAACTGTTCTGCCAATTAACTCTAATAATTATTACCATTATTGATGAGGCTTGAGGCAGATCGATATGGATAAGTTTTATGCAATTACAGACTTTCTTGCCTGTTACTTTTTCAGACAAACAAACCAAACAATAATAATAATTTGGGTTAGTGTTGACAGAAAGAAAAAAAATATAGGGGAGAGGGGATACACCAATCTTTTATTGATATTTTAGCTAATTAGTGTGGGGAGCGCTTGGCGATATGCCCAGTACTATCATAGAGAGAGAGAGAGAGAGAGAGAGATAGTCATCAATGGTCACTAAGACATGGATTCAAGCAGTGAGAAAAGGCATGAGCATTCTGATCAGTGGGAAGGCAGTTGTGCCAAATGGAAGGGGGCAAGACATTAGCTTTTGACCTTGTTAGACTGAGCGACCAAGTGTGTGTGTGTGTGTGTGTGTTGCAAAAAGCAACCGATTATGAAACTATCAAATGATTACTAGCGGTTGTAGTGTTTGCGTGTTGTACAGAACTGAGTTGAGGAGGGTCAATACTGGTAAACAAAGCAAAATGTTGAGATGTTACAAATACCTAGAGAACAAACACAAATTCTCAAACTATGCAAACCATGTGGGTAAAGAATATTGGAATGGTCTCACAGACTTAAAGGCACAATGTGTCATTTGCACTGTTAGAGGTCGCTTATTCAAAACAAAGGTTTAGCTTGATGACGCTGCACTGTAAATATATATATATATATATATATATATATATATATATATATATATTGTTGGTTTAACTTAAAAAAAATGAAATAATCTGGTTGCCTTAAAACTTTAAGTTCATTGAAATTGAAAAATTGAGTTAATACAATGAAGGAGATTGATTTAATAATCAGAAACTCTAAATATTATGTTATCCGAACCACATAAATTGTCTAAATTGATTTGACAGAAGAAAAAAAAAGTTATGATAACAAATATATATGATAACAAATATATATATATATATATATATATATATATATATATATATATTTGAGCGTGGAATCATGGGCGTTCTTCACCTTTACAGCCTACAGTTACATTTGATCACTTAAATTAACATTATTCATTAAATTAACATCATTTTAATTTAACGAAGATGTGTTTCCATGGTTTCTACAGACGTAAAAATGTAAATTGAGGGTAAGATATGATGTCATTGACAGGCGATGTACGGAATGACACGGGCCGTTAAAATAGCTGTATCTGGTTTTAAACATTGTTGAAAACATCTAGGATAGTGCAAGTACATGTCAATAAAATATATAACATTGCTCTAGTGTTTTCTTTTGGATATTTTAATCCAAAAATATTACATATTGTGCCTTTAAGTGTGTAGATAAAATCACTGTTTGAATGACTGCAACATTACAAGATTGTTTCCTATAAGGAAAGCTCAGATCAGTGTTATTTTAGTATCATTGAGATACTATCATAGTTTTTTTTTATTCAAATTTTCAATTACTTAATAATAATTTTGTTGTATGTCTGACATTTTTTTCTTTCTATAGCTTTTCATTTGTATTGCAGTTAAAGTTATTTTTATTAAACTAAATGAAAACGAGAAATGTTTCATTGGCAAATAGATATTTCTTAATTAAGTTGACTTTGCTATTCAAGTAACAAAAATACTGTCTCCAATCAAAAACAGATATTTTAAAATGAACTATAATTAAATAATCTCTCAAAAACATCTCTATACTATTGCTATATGTAAACTGTTTAATTTCTGTCCATTTTCATTTCTCTTAGGGAACATCTGAGAGAAAATGTATACTTAAATAAAACAGCAGAAACATTGTCTAAAACAAAAAAAAAATCAACATATTTTCCTTTCAATCATGTGTATTGGCATCTAATCTTCAAAAACCTAATAAACCAGACCACGTTTTCCAAGATTGCATTTCATGAGAAGTAAGAAATGGCTTGCGTAAATTCATAGAAGGTCGGTGATATGGGAAAACTAGATTAAGTGTCACGGTATCGGCATACATAAAAATCCAGATATTTCATCAGAGCCTCTTGATAGAGCACCAGATGCTTAACAAATTAATTAACCTTGCTTGCTGTCTCTGAGTGTTGATTGAATGCCCCTGTGTGCCATTCCCTGCCTCTGGTCTCGCATAATAAAACACCCACACATAAACAGAAATCCTGCCAAAACGCACAGGACTGACCGAGACTCTAGAAGAGGACATTAAGAATCTCCACAAGAATTGACTGTTGGTTCCCTCGCTGACTCGTAAATGTATTCAAGTCGATATCATCCTTATTATTTGCAGTATAAAGTTATAAAGAACTAGCTTTTTTTTGGAATATGAGTAAACGAGCAAGACGGCTTTATCATCCTCCAACTCATCATTATAATTACCAACATTATCATCATCATTCTTATATGTGCATCTGCATCACTGGCATCACATTAACTGTAGCCACAGGGGCATTGTGCCATTTTTAAAATGTAACCAAATCATTAAAATAACTATATATGATAAATGTATACAGTTTCAGATAAGACTAATTTGCATGACTTTACTTTAAAGCTCATTTAAACAGATATAAACACCCACATCTTGATTTACAGATGCAGGGACATTGAAGTGACTGGGAAGAGGACATACTGTATATATATATATATATATATATATATATATATATGAAACAACACATGACGGCAAAAATAGTCTGATCCGGTTGCAGGTTAAGTCAAACCTAATGTAAACTGTCAGGGCATTACAATAATGAAAAATCTACCTCTAAACTCAGATATCATATGGCTGAATGGTAATGCTCAAGGCTAATGTTCACCAACATCTGCTCTCACATTTGCGGTGCTGCACAGTCGTAGGGTGGAAACAAAGCCGATTGTTATTTTCTGCAAGTTAGTGGAATATCTCATGGGTCGCACACAGCGCAGAGCTCGCTGTTCTCCATTTATGCAGATTTGTGAAAAATATCAGAAATATGAGAAAACACGTGGTACTTATTTGCTGACCCTGACAGTGAATTTTCCCAGTAACCCTTGAGAGACAGTGTTACCTGAGAGCACTTTTGATGGTTACCATGCGCTAGCACTGTAGCGATCAGTACATATTAATGCTTTGCAGTCTGTATCTGAAGCACAATAAGGAGGATCGATAACCTTCTTCCTTCTGAGTCTCTGTCTCTGTTCCATTTGTGTCTAAGCTATATAAACACACAATGTAAATATATAATTACTGACATAATGTAAACACCAAACACCTTAAAGTATTCCCGTAGAGTGCTGCATTGATGAAGAATTTTTTGTAGACCAAACCAGAAATCAGCATCGCTTTTGTTCGCTCAACAGAAACCCAATATAATGTGTTCTTTGGCTTTTGGATTATTGTA